CCCCTCTTAAATTTATATACATAGTATCATACTTGTAAAAGGACTGAATTGCTTACATGGCAAGATAAGATAAGATAACAAGATAAGATAAGATAAAGCTGAAAAAAGACTAAGCCTAATCTTATAAAAAACTAGTCCTAATCTTATCATAAGGAACTAATCCTAATCATAACTTATAGCTGACATACGAACAGTGGGGACCACCTTAGTGAGGTCCACATTAATGTTCTCTACACAATCCATGTGGTCAGCCAATTTATGCATGCTATAAGACTTCTACATATGAAGGCAGTGGAAATGATCTTGAGATACTTGAAGACATGCCCTAGGAAGGGAATATTGTTTAAGAAATATGACAAAAAGAGGTGGAAACTTATATTCATGTTAATTGGGCAGGCTCTCTTAGAGATAGGAAGTCTACATCCGGATATTGGACCTTTGTAGGTGGTAATCTTGTAACTTGGAGGAATAAGAAACAAACTGCTGTAGTGGGATGGGATCAAGTTCTGAGGCTGATACAAAGGCCATGGCTCAGGGAGTTGCTAAATTGCTTTGGCTCCGAATTCCTCTAAAAGAGTTGGGGATTGATGTCGTTGGGCCTTTAAAGTTGTATTGTGATAATCAAGTTGCAATCAACATTGCCAACAATCCAATCCAATATGATAGGACAAAACATATTGAGATTGATAGACATTTTGTGTGGAAAGAATTGTTTTTGGGGACTCTATATTCCTTATATACCATCTACAAGACAACTAGTTGATGTTTTTACCAAGGGGCTTACCAAGGCAAGATTTATGGAGCTGTTATGCAAGCCAGACATGAAAGATGTCTATGCTCAGCCTAAGGAGGAATTTTGTGAGGCTTAGCATTGTGGGCTTGGGCTTTCTTTAATTTATGTTACATGTTCCTTTATGTTTTGTTTTTCAACTTAATGGGCCTGGGCCTCTATTGCACTAATATGTTATTTTTTCTACCTATTAATCAGGGGCAGATTTGTCTTTGTACTTGTCTTAAACCCTACTATAAATAATAAGATTAGGGGCTGGATAGAAGTTGTTTCCGCCGCATTACTCTTCTCGTCTCTCTTAATTTGAAAACTAACAATATATATAGGCCAAAATAATTGGGTTTGGGGGGGGGGGGGGCACTAGATGGACTTGTTTAAGCTTGCTTCACTTCCAATTTTCACTTTGGATATGCTTTATAAATTGAATTTATTTTTATGTAAATGCCTATACCTCCAACAGGATCTCTAAGAGAACATTAAGTATGTTTTTTTCTAAAAATTTAGTATGCAGTTGTACTAACTATGGTATTACAACCACCCAGGCTCATAGCACTTGCTTTCTCTAACCATTATGTATTTGAACTCTCTTCCTAACGTATTTATTTCCAACATTTGCATTTATTTCTATTTTGGACTTTTCTTACATTATCTTCCACAAATTCTAACCCTTCTCATTCGTTCCAACAATAATTATCAATAAGAATTTGATAAAGGACATCTTCCTAATGTAATTAGTTATTAAAAATATAAATTATCATTATAAAGATAAAATCCATCTTACTTGGGCAGTAAGGGACTTGATCACTTCTTTAGCTGCTTTGCATTTTGCAGTTTCCTCCCCTGCAATTGTGATTGCCTCCTTCAGCTGCTTATTTGCCCTTTCCAGTTCTACTTCTTGAAGTTGGGCTTTACGGGTGAGATTTTCCACCTACAAATTAACGTTGATCTAAACTTAGCAGTGTCTTACTTTTTACCAGAGAAGCTTTTCAGTTTTCAAAAATAATCTGAACCTTTTCTCATTTCTAAGATCACAATATATAGTAGGACCATTTAAAGCCACATGCAAACATCATATCCTTGAGAACCCTTACAGTACATATTCAAAGTAAAGTACATATAGTCTATAATTTAGAAATTGGAATACAAAAATCTGCTGTCTATGAAGGATGGGCATGGAAAAAACAGTAATTTTTTTAGCTCATTAGAAAAAGGAATTTCATCAATTAACCTAGAGAAATCATATTCCTGCATCAACCATGGATAGATTGGATGTTAGGCATCAGGTATACATATAGCATACCAAGTTTTTAAATTGATAAAAATAACATATAGCATACCAAGTTAGAATGATAGAAGGTATAAATATCCATAAAATAAAAGTTTATAAGCAACTAACATTTGACATTTTGTGTTTCAAAATGCAAATTTCTCAAATAATTCAAATAACCAATTTAGAAGAAAAGTATGAACAATCATCCATATAATTGGATATTAGATTTATGGTCATTCAATAGTTTAGAAGAAAGAAAACAACTTAGTTAATTTGATCTATGCAAAAAATTCAATAAAAATAAATAAATCCATTAGGAAAAGAAGTGAGAAAAATAATAAACTCGGGATGCTATATTTAGAATAATTAGAAGAAAAACACTGACTTGATATATGCAAGAGAAACTAAGAACTTGATTCGCCCTTTTTGCACTAAACTCTCCTAAAACACTGAGAGAAACTAATAGATCTTGATTTTCCCTATTGATTTTTCAGTTTTACTCCTTTTATTTATTTGGCCCATAATGATTGAAGTGCTTCTTCCATATACATAATTTTTTTGCATTAAATCGCTAAATAATCAATGATACATGAGGCTTATGCCTTTTTATGCCTCAAGCTATGCCTCACGCCTTGAGGCTTGAGGCTTACACCTCATTCTGACAAAGAATTAAGCCTCACATCAAAATCTGTGTTCCTTGAGGCACATTCTGTTATGCCTCAAGCTATTGCCGCTTCTCTTGGATATATCTTATGCATTACCGAGATGAGGTTCCTACGTTGACTTGTTGTTTCCATCAAATGGTTCTTACTCAATTTCATACTCACATTAAAATTTTCAAATCCAATAATGCCAAAGAATATTTTGTAAATCATTAACTTCTTATTTTCATGAGTATGAGTCATTCATTATTCCTTAGTAGAATGGATTTGCTGAGAGAAAGAATAGGCATATTCTAGAGGTTACTAGGAGTATTATGTTGAATTCACATGTTCCTATACATTTTGGGCTGGGACCACACCAATAGGCACTTATTTCCATTTGTGAAATAAACCTGAATAAGTGCTTGTTCCAAAAAATAAGCACTTATTCAAGAAGCTCAAATTTTTAGCTCATTTTGAGTGATTATTTCATTTCTGGCCTGTCTTGTTCCGTCATGTCATTTTAAAAATACCTATACTAGGGGGATTTCAACCTCTCGTTTAATTTTATTCATTTTGAATGACTCCCCTGAGGAGCTTTCAACCTGTGAGTGGGTTCGAATAAAGGTGAAAAGGTCCGGGAAGATTCTTGAAAAAGTGAAGGTTGTTGTGGGGGAGTCGGTATTTGAAATCTGTATTTGGCCTGAGTCGCTTCCGACGGTCTGAAGTTGAACGCAGGAGATTCATGAGAACAGTCAGTTCCGATTGCAGGGAAGGAGCTCGGAAATCTCTAACACGGTGGTCTTAGAAGACGAGGGAGAAAGCTCACTGCCGCAAGAGTTCCATAAAAAGTAACTGAGTTTCAAACCGCCACTGAGTAGCTCGTCGGAGGTCGACGGAGGGGAAGAAGATGGTCGTGGGATCAATCTGATCCATCCACAAGCAGTTCCGTTGGACGGCCAGGATCGTCCTCAAGCTAAGTGCTTTGAATCTTGCACGACAGAATTAATGAAGGGAAGAAGTGGGGGTTTTTCGAGGGTGGAGGATTTAAAAACTCTCATAAAGCAATGCATTAAAGAACTACACGTGGAGTCAGACGTGGAGGTTTAAAGGGAGGGAGGCTCGATAAGAGGCTGGATCGGATTCCAAGGAAGATGAAGAGATTCCGGTTTGGACTCATGTTCCGGATCTGGGTCAAGCTAGATTTAAGTCCTTGCCTACCCACTCTACTCAATTGGCGAAGAAACTTGAAGGTAAAAAGTTCTTTAGTGAGCCTCGGTGACCCACTGGTAGACAAACAGATTATAGTCCGGTTCGGTTGGAACCGACCTGGGTTAGTCTGCCATCCAAACAACAGTTGAATCCAAGTGATGGTTCTACTCTAGCCCACATTCCTAGCCCTGATAATATGGTGATGGGTGATCTGAGTCAGGCTGCTACTTCATCTCAAAAAGTTCGGTCTTCTTCAAAAAGTGTGTGGGAGATGGACAACAGGTGGCAACAAAGTCAAGAGCTGCCTCTAGTGCCAGTGGAAGAGATAGTGGAAGAGACTCTGTTGGTGGCAACCCCTATTGCGGTGGTTGGTAATGAGGTTCATAGTGGGAATGTGGGAAATTGTCTTGATCAATCCAAAGAGTTGGGAAATAGTGGTGTAAGCCCCAAGCAAATGAGAAGAAGCAACGGAGAAGTCTTGATAGGAAACAAGGGGAAAGCGAGTTCATCAGCCGCGGAGGTAGGCAAGGACAGTAAGTCTGAAAATAATCAATCTTCTTGGGTGACATCGAAACTTCTGGGGCTGGGGACTTTCCTGGGAATTTCGATGGAGGGGATGGAAGCTAATACTATTAAGTTCTTGGAAGGAATTGAACAAAGAGTGCTTATRGAGAGGGGAAAATTGGCGGAAAAAAAAGGGGGATTAAAAACAAAGAGAAGTAGAGAAATGATGAGATTAACGTGGGGTCTGAATGATAAGGCGGGGAGCAGTGAAGGGGCTGCAAGGGGGTCTAAGAAGATGTGAGGTGTGGGTCCTTTTCTTTAGTTTTTTCTTATGGAAGTGAAAATTCTTTCCTGGGATGTTAGAGGGCTGGGGTCAGGAAGGAGGAGGATGATGGTATGTGATTCTTTGAAGCAATCGAAGTCAAAGATTGTCTTGCTCCAAGAAACTAAGCTGGAGTGGGTTGATGTTGCTACAATTCGAAGTGTTTGGGGGGAGGGTCAGGTCTGATGGAAGGCCTTGGCTGCCTTGGGGAGTGCTGGTGGAATTGTGAGCCTTTGGGACCCCACTTTCTGTTCTTTGGTTTCTTGCAGAATTGGTAATTTCTCAATCACTTTGAGACTGAAACTATAAGATGGAAAACTTATTCAAGTCACAAACGTTTATGGTCCTGTTGATTCTAATTTTCGGGTGGCTTTTTGGGCGGAATTATCAGATTTGAGAGACCCTCAGAACTGTCCTTGGGTAATTGGGGGTGATTTTAATGCAGCTATTTCAGTGGATGAGAAGAATACAGGGGGT